GCGACGTCCTGGTCGCTGCAGCTCCTATTGTTGGTTGCTTTGAGATGAGGGAGTCTAAAAAGACCACAAAAATTTGTAGTGTGCGTTGTTTAAGCTTGGAAGGTGCAAATTAGATTTGTTCTGCCCCATACCTTCCACAGATTTACAAGCAACCACCATCTCTGCATCATCATCCAGCCACGACAGAGGGTGTCTCTGGGAGGGGCGTGATTCTTCCTGCTGAGCAAACAGGAAAAGCATCAATTAAACACTTAGTTAACTTGAAAATTTTACTAATTATGTTTAAGGCTAGAAATAATTTACTGCCAACTAATCTACAAAGGTTCTTTGTTTTGATCCCAAAAAATGATAAGAGTAGAAAGAAACCAGAGTTTAAAAGGATATTTGTTCGTACTACATTAAAGCAAATGTGTATGTTAACATATGGTGTGAAATTATGGAATAACCTGGATGATGAATTAAAAAAATGTACAAGTACTGGTCAATTAAAAAAAATGTCTAAAGATAAAAGGCTAAAATCGTATGATTTGGTGGGTTTAGGATGGAGGATTAATGTTTTAGTAGTGATATTATTTGTGGAAGTAAGAGAGCGGTTTATTTTTTGTGTATAAGGCTATTTTGTACTTTTTGTTATTTATCTTGTCTTAGTTAAAGGGGGTAGGTCATATAAGATTTTTTCTTCTTCCTCCCCCTATTTCACTCGAATGCTTATATTCTAATTTGAAGTTTGTATATTTAAACTTTGAGTGAAATAAATTATTGAATTGAATAAACAGGGAGCCCAGTGTGCGCCCCCCAGTGGAGGGTTAAGGTATTTATATTGTGCCGTATCACACACCATGGTTGGCGGAAGAAGAAGTAGTTCTTGCTGAAAACGCTGAAAAGTAGCGGGGGCGTTCCTCAAACCGAACAGCAACACGGTGTACTGGAGCAGGTTATCTGGAGTGACGAAAGCAGACACTTTAGATGCAAACGGAGTTAGCGGCACCTGCCAATAGGCTTTTAGAAGATCTAGTTTAGTAACAAATGTAGCTGAACCCACACTATCCACACAATCCTCTACACGAGGCAAAGGAAACGAATCTGGGACGGTTTTTGCATTTAACTTGCGGTAGTCAGTAACAAACCTATATGAGCCATCAGGTTTATTTTCCAGTAAACATGGTGAGCTCAAGGAACTGGTGCTGGGCTTTGCTAGGCCATGTTCTAATAGATAAGTTACTTCCTTTCTCATTAGTTCCCTCTTCATCGGACTAGCCCTGTAAGGGTGCATATGAACGGGGACGGAATCAGTAAGGCTGATGTCATGAGTTATTAGGTGGGTCTGACTGGACACGTCTGAAAATAGTTCCGGAAAAGAGTGAATTAGATGAGAAAGCTCCTCCTGTTGCGAAGAGGTGAGGTGACCCAAACTGGACGACAGGTTGGAGAGAGCTTCGGAGTTGCAGAGACGTGGGGTGACAGGGGGCAGCAAACTCCACGCCACAGCATCATCTTGCACAGTATCAGGCAGTGGGGGAGAAACCTCTGCAGAGACTAAACAAGGCTGAGTCACAGCGGTAGCACGTTCATGAAATAGCTTCAAACGATTCACATGGCAAGTCATGGTTTTCTTTCTCATTAGAGGAGTTCTGATCACATAATTGGATTCACTGAACTTGGAGAGAACCTCAAAAAGCTGCAGCCAGGGAGAGAGAGGTGTCGGCGCGCTAGGATGATGTCGACGCCAAAACAACCAAAACAAAGTGGAGACTCACCTCTCACATCAGGAAGAATCTGCGTGTTTCGAGCGTTATCCGTTCTCTCATAATCCGTTGTTGAATTGTGATCGGCAGAAGCTTTTCTGGTTCGCGCCTCACTTTTTACAGCAGCGGCCCACGTCAAGACGTCGTTTCTGTTACTGATAAGGAAATGCGTGCGTTAAGCAGCGCGGTCTGTAGAAGCTGTCATCAGCTGATCAGGAGCTGCTAGAGGTAGATGTTTTCATCCAAGAGCATCACGGCCCATGAAGAACGAGGAAGACGTAATGAATATCTACGGCTGCAGACCCGCCGCAGATTTGCTGCTGTAGGTGGGAATCTGCAGCAGTGAATCTGCGGGTCTGCAGCCGTGCCCTTCTTGGCGTGACAGCGGGACGTCCCGAAGGTCCGCTCACCTGTTCACCACTCAGACGTCCTGATCTTTTGCCTTCCTAGATCATCCAGCTGTAACCTGTTCCTGATCATGTCTTTAGCCCCGCTGTAACACTGATGCATCAGTCTCAAACGACATGGAGCTCAGGTGTTATTAGAACCTGTGTGTGTTCACCACCCAGCTTCAGCTCTTCTGTGGTTGGGTCTGACCCATGTTAGTACATTTAAGTCCTCCATCAGGCTTGTGCCTCTTCTAGTGTCATTTTAAAGGATTTTATTAATTTATTTAACCGATACTAGATTACCAGCAACAGAAATGCTGCTAAAAACACACAATTATGTGAAGCTGGAAAAATTAGAATACTGTGCAAAATTACATTTATTTCTGTAATTTAACTAGACCGAGATACCATTTAAAGGTTCGGGAACCTTTACAGGTGTTTCTATTTGCAATTTTAAATTTCAGCTGATTAGGGTCTTGTTAAATATCACACAGTGACCTTTTAATAGTCTAGATAAGTGTAATGTTCCTGTTAGTAGGTCCTCCTGTTAAGTGCTTATTTATTTAAATTATTCAGGTTTATAAAAAACATTTGGACATACATTTTATTATGTTCCAGTCAACAGTTATTTATATTTCACTATTGTAGTAATTCTTGCATTCTTTAATGAAAAAAGTAACTAAGTAGTTATTTTTGTTGGTAATCAGTTACTTTTATGATCTTGTAACTGAGTTACTTTTTTGACAAAGTAATCAGTAACTATAACTAATTACTTTTTTAAAGTAACGTTCCCAACACTGATTAACGCACAGGCCAGTTTCATCAGCCCGTGCTAGGAGAACGGGACCTGCTCTAGCTGTGAGAATGCCGTGTGTGTGCGCTCACCATGATGACCAGTAGAATATTCTGGAAGTCATTTCTGAATCCCAGTGTGGAGCTGCAGAACAGAGCAAAGTTTCCTTCCAGAAGTTGCAGGGTAAAAAATAGGCTTGCTCAGTCAAACTGCACACGCACGCACAAAAATCATTTTTGTTCCGTGAGGATTTATTCCACACTCACCATGAAACCCAGTGAGGTAAAGAGGAAGACTACGACCAGTTTGGCGTATGGTCCGTGTCCCATCACGAGCCTGATTCCTTGAAAAAAGGCATGGGGTGTGACCAGACCTGGGAATGCTCTAAAAACAGAAAATAAACCAGAAACAGTCAGAACACCACCTGATACCTGTACAAGTCTCTAGAAGCATGTTGCTTTGATTCCTTGCAACATCTTTCACCTAGTCAGCTGACTTTCATGCTTTTCCTTATTGCCTTTAGATTTGACCAAAGCTTTGGCTTGATCACACGGCCCGTATTGCTCAGCTACAACTGTCTCGTTATTGGTCACAGTCAAGCCCCTTCATCACATCACATCACTGTTTTTCATGGAACTTGAAATCAGATTTACAAAATAATGGATCATGCAAAATCATAAGATCTGGTGTAATTCGATATGAATGACTGACCTAAAAAATGAACAGATTTCAGATGAATATGTAAAACCAACAGAGTTGGTGCCATTTTTGTGTTTGCTGATGAAACTTATCTGTGGTAGCCATCTTTTGCCAAGTTAGAGCTAAAGCTAGTCTGAGCTAACCGCTAGTTTGAAACAAAAAGTAGTCTTAGTCTGAGCCAAACGCTAGTCTGAGCAAACCGCTAGTCTGAGCCAAAAGCTAGTCTTAGTCTGAGCCAAACGCTAGTCTGGGCTAAGTGCTAGTCTGAGTTAACAGTTAGTCTGAGCCAAAAGCTAGTCTGAGCTAACAGCTATGCATCCTCGAACAATTCTCCGGACATCGTTTACTGCAAATCGTGATAATTTCAACAAACATTAGTCAGCTAGCAAGTAGCTAGTTTTTGCTAGCTTTAGCTTTAACATCGATTGACTAACCTTATACCGGCTTCTTCTCCTGGACTGTCTGGACGTGAGGGGGCAGCCTCTGTAAAACACGGGAATCAGAGACGAACGTGACGTTGCTGTGTCGTTAAAGAAACTTATTGGTTTATTTTGAATTTTCCGATTTTCCTTACTGATTGGAGGATTAGCGCATTGTGTTTTCTAAAGACTTCAACCTTATTGGGAGATATTTTTCCACGTGATGTATTCTATCCCGCTGATTGGCTCAAATTCGGCTATATATTTTTCAATCCAACCGCCACTCACGTCTTTGAACAAGACTCGTTTCAGTGCGCACTACGTAGGCTTGCTTGGGGTTTTGCCTTCTTTTTAGAGTTGTAAAGCAGCATTTTGGAGAATATTTCATTTGTGCTTATTGTTATCTGTCGTTTGTTTGTTTGTTTGTATGTTTGTTTTAAGCAATATTAGCTGTATTCAGCTGGCGTGTTCACTTCTTACTATGGTAAGTAATACTTACATATTTGCTGTGTCGATTTTTACGCAAGCAGCTTCATTATTCTTGTGATATAATTTGGAAAAGAGTAAAGTAGTTTTGTTGAATCTGCAGCGTGAGTGAGTGTCCATGTGGCACGTGATGTAACATTTAACGGTAAGACACGAAGGGGCGGTGGACTCGCGCTGCTGCGAACCGGTTCCGCCGTTACATTCCCGCAGAAACTGGTTGATCACACCGGGACCAGACTCGAGTCTCAGACATTGGGGTTTTACAACCACAATGTCCTAGGAAGCGAAAACGCTTTAAAAAGGGAGGGAGGAGTCCTAACTGTTGCTGCAGGCTGTAACGGGGTGACTCGAGCTGGGCGAGAGTTTGGATGTGGCGTGGCTTTTAACCCAAGCGCGGAATGACTGACGCCGGGTTGAATGGACACGCTGTTCTGGGAGCCGAGTGCGCAGCTGAACACGGCAAGTCCTGGTCTGAGGCTGGTCTCTAAGAACAGGCAGGATTCTTAGATCTGGCTGGTCTGATCTGAACAGGCTTCGTGATCTGAGACAATCTGGTTTGGACTCTGGGTTAGGTTCGGTTCGAACAATGACTTTGGTTTTATGCTTGACGCATTCACTTTCCGCGCGGTGATGCGGCTCGCGGATGGAACGCGCTTCACAACTCGCAGTGTTTATGGTTTGTGCGGCTTGTCTCTGCGGTGAGCCAATATTCTCCCAAACTGAACGGGGCAGCATGGAGCTCTACAGCATGCATTCAACACTACACCATAGTAGAAGTAGAACTTACTGTTTACAACATGGCATTTCAGCATTTTTAACAGCGTTCTCGTCTTTTCCGACAGTGCGAGCTATTTCTCTCCAAGAATTATTAACAACATGTTGATCACGGTGATCTCTGAGAGCTGAATCATACAAATGTCTATTTACGAACCTCTGCCATAGTAGTTCTTGCTGGTCCGCCATGTTTTTCCGCGTGGTTAGAAATTTTCCGAGGTGTGCTTTGCGGAAATTCTGGGCCGTGCGGAGGCGCGGTGGAGGGGCGTGGTTGTTAAAATGACGCAACTTTTCCGCGCGGAGCCGTGCGGACCTCGCACCTGGTTGGTTAATGCTTGATGGTTGATGCCGACGTGAGTCGGTGTTGTGCGGCACTTCCTTAAATAGATTTGGCGGGTGACGTGAACCGGAAGCCTGGCGCTGGGGATGTTGGTTAATGGAGTCTGAGCGGCTCTGCGGTGCCTCCCTAGAGGAGGTTGCGTGAGTGACACAGGCGTGTTGTGTGAGAGTGCAGTTATTTACTGGTTAATAGGGCTGCTCGATTATGGCAAAAATAATAATCACGATTATGGTGACTGAAATTGAGATCACGATTATTTAGGACGATTTTTCAATTTATGTTGATTTTATTTGTTTTTATTAAGTCATGAAATTGCTCAGGGCACAATCAGGACAAAAATAATAAACTAGATGATCACTAAAATAACTCCTGATTCCCAGTATAAAAAGACCAATATACTTATAGCTCACAGTCTATGACCCAAGGGCTGTAGACCTTGGTTTAACTCATGTAAGTCTAACCAGTACAGACCCAAATACCAATACCTTGCAAATACTGACAGCAATAATTATACAGTGGCATTTATAACAAATAAATGCAAAGAAATTGATGTTCACAAAATGTTGCATAACATTGAGTCGTGTCAAGGTGCTGTAGGAGAGTGTAGTGATGGAATGATGATACCTCAAGGAGTGTATTGACACACTAGACAAACTGTGTCGGCACTGTACTGACACTGTGTTGGTCACTCAATAGCGACACCTGCAGTATTTCTAAAATCATTGCAGGTAAATAAGATGGAAAAGCTTACATGCTGCAAACCCACACCAGGTGTGCAAAATTTAATTTCCTGTAATCAAAATATATCATTATGTAATTTAATTTACTCAATTTAAGTTAAGTTGTTTATGAAAGGAGTTTAACATTTGCTTATAACCTTTGTGTAAATGTTACAATGAGTTGGCATGTTAAATCTGAATGTGTCTAATAAAAATCAGAAGTAAAAGTTTTAACTTATGTAAATGTGTTAACCTCTGTGTTAGATCATACAAAATAAAAGACTAAATATGGATTCATTTATGCATTTTTATTGAGGAACAAAAGTTTGTGCAGTGTGTTTGCTCCAAGGCGATTTCTCCTCTTAGACACCAGTTCCCCTGCCTTAGAAAACACTCTTTCACAGGGTACAGATGAAGATGGTGTGCATAAGAATTGAAGTGCGAGTTGATAAAGGTGTGGATATAAATTCTGGTTATTTTTCCAATATTGTAATGGGTCTTGTGTTCTCGGTGCATTTCTTTCAGCCAGGTAGCGTTGGACTTCAATTATGGAATTGGCTGTAGTATTAGAGGTCATCCTGCTCTCCTCAACCTCCATATCAAGGTGCCTCCAGAGATTGTGTCCTAACAAATAAATTGGAAATAAGTCTGTTAATCATTGGTTTACTATCACATGACAAACTTCCGCAGAAATAAACAAATATTCACAAAGAAATGTGTTTTCATACCTGAACTATGTTCTGATCCACGTGAAGTGCTAGGCTCCTCTACTGCTGGGTCAGGCTCATGGCTCCTCATTTCAGCAGCACACTCTGACTTCAGTCTCTTGACAGCTTCAGTTGCTTTCAGTGGACTAAAAAAGCCAGCAGTTTTAAACCTGGGGTCCAACAATGTTGCCAGTGACATCACACTGAGCGATTCCATGTTGCAGATGGACTCGGTTAGCCGCTTTGACAGATTTTCAGCCAGTTGTTTAGCAGTGGGTTTTGTCACCGTTGAAGATTGATGTTGAAGCTCAATGTGGATCATTCTCATCAATGGAATAACCTTTGACCCCGAGACTCTTTTTTCCTCAGAGAGTTCTCTTGTGGCTTGGTAAAAAGGAGCAAGCACCCTGAGCATCTCTTCAATGATTTCAAATTCTTCTGGAGTCAGTGGAGTGAGATCAGTTTTTAATGAGGCCAGTGACACCCAGACTGCCTCCTTCTGCTCAGTCAGTCTCTCCAGCATGTGGTAGGTGCTGTTCCATCGTGTCGGCACCTCATTTATTAATTTATGCAATGGTGTTCCCAGCTGTTGCTGCATTTGAGTGAGCTTTTCCTTGGCCATGGTGCTTGATCGAAAGTATGTCACAATTTGCCGTGCTTTGTTGCGTAGTTCTGTTAGTGTTGAGATTTGATCACATGATTTTCTTACAATTAAATTTATGGAATGGGCAATGCAAATGGTTTGCCGTACTTGCAGCATTCGAGCACATGCAATCATGTTTGCTGCTGCATCAGTGACAAGACACCTGACTTTGCCTGCTATGCCCCACTCCTCCATGAGGCTCCTTTTAACTGTGGCCATGTTTTCTGCAGTGTGTTTCTGAGGGAAATGCTGCACTCCCAAGACTGATGAACAGAGTTCATGGCTTTCTTTGTCCACATAGTGGCAAGTAACGGCAAGATATGCCTCCATATTAATGGATGTCCACATATCAGCTGTTAAACTAACAGCAATGACGCTCTGGAGGTCCTTTTTTGTTTTCTCCTTTTCCTCTTCATATTTCTGGCTCACCAAGTCCTTGATGACCTACAAGTAAACATACCAATACTGTAATACCAATGTTACATAAACACACACACACACACACACACACACACACACACACACACACACACACACCATGAAAGTAGTTGATTAATTAAAGCAAACATTTCTTAAACATACCTTCCTGCTTGGTAGAACATATGAGGGTGCAATAAGCTTCAGGAGCTCCCTGAATCCCTCATTTTCAACAATGGTGAGTGGCTGGCAGTCTTTGATGATCATGTTAACCACAGCATCATCCACTGCTTGCTTGTTAGGAACTGCAAGCCAAAAGGAAATACTTTTTTAAAAGCTTTAAAAAGCTTATGAAAAGGATTTTACAAGCAATACTACAGAGTCACACAAAGCCTTTTGTGTGTAATAGACTAATTTTGACAATTCAGATTTTTTGGTGATAATTTCAACATACCTGGGGTATCTACCAATTCATCGTTGCCATGCCGAGCTCTATAATGCCTCAGCATTGATGAAGTGCTCTTATTTGTGTAAGACAGCTCTGTGGAGCAGAGCCGACACTTCACCTACAATAAAATAAATAGTTAATTTATCTGAAAACAATTTAAGCCTCTTACCAGAGAAAGACTACAAACACATTTACAATACAGAAATAACAGTAAACGTTGCCAAATGGAGAAAACAATTTACCTTTTTTGGCGTCAAAAGATCAAAATTATTCCAGACTGGGGAAAACTTCTTGGAACGATCCATGAAGTCAGCGGAGAGAAGTGAGCGTGAGGTAAGGAAAAATCCAAAATCAAACAGCAAACAGCAAAACTCTAACCAACAAATCCGCAACATGTCGATACAGTTTGCTTCCTTATAAACACAATTTGGCGCGGCGCATCCAAACGACACACAATCCTGTGTCGGTCACGTGATATTTTCTTAAAGCGATACACGCACCGATACGGGGTTTCACTCTTGTGCAGTCGACACTGTGCTGACGCGCCAGTGTCGTTCGTCCCATCACTAGGAGAGTGCACAAGCACCGTGTCCTCAGAGAGATTAGTTATTAGTTATCAGCGTGAGGAACTTATTTCTACCTTATTTATCAACTATTTATTTACAGGTCCATCAGTTAATGTAATAATTGTCCCAACCACAGCTACACCCCCAACCCGGTCTCACAGCAATCGGGGCAAGCTGCACGTGTGTTTAGCGCGCCGCACACGCACATTTAGTCATTTTTAGTGGCTCAGGAGTCCGCAGGTGCGGTGTGTGTGTCACTCACTCTGGTTAATCCAACAGGGAGCCAGCTCCGAGAGCTGTTAAGCTAACCTGCAGGAAATGTTGACGACAGTTATCCAGAAAATAGCTAAGGGTTCCCAGAGATGTTTCTGAGGTGTTTGCTAGGTACTTTTAAGTTTGAAAAGTCAAGAAGGGGGTCTGAAAAGCTGCTAGAAATAGCGTCAAAGTCGCTAAGTTGGCAACACTGTGGAGGAACGCTTCATTTGCAACTCAGGGCAGCGCAAGCGGGAGGAGCAAATAATCGGCTTGTTTTGTTTTTTTATAATCGTTCAAAACTCAGATTGTAATCGTGATTAAAATTCGATTAATTGAGCAGCCCTACTGGTTAATATATTTTTGGGTTCAGTTGCTTTCATGTGGTCTAATGTGAGTCTATTTGGGATCGTTGGAATGATCAGCAGCATTTTTTGATGTGACTTATGGCAGTTGCCCAGGGCATCATCACAAGGAGGATGGCATTCATTTACTTTTGGTTTATTTGGTATTTTTTCAGTCATTTGTGGAAATGGTGATTAATTTTGATTAATTCACAGCCTATGTTTAATTACATTTAAAAATTAGTTGTTTGACATCCTCAATTATAATAAATGTCTACAGATGAGATCAAACAAAACAGATGAGAATTGCCCTTAAAGAGCAAGTCACCCCCAAATCAACTTTTTTTTGCTGATAAAACGTGGAAGTAAAGTGCATATTTGAGTCACTTCTGTTTTATGTTTCTAACAGAAACTTGTAGTTTTTCACATTTGAATGTAATATTGTCAAAAGTTTATTTTTGGCTCCCTGGAGGGCTAAGCCCAACCAGCCATTCCTCCCCATCCCCGCATACTTCTCTCCTCCTGCTCCCTCACATCATCACACAAACATACACATAGGACCTTGGGGGGGTGGGCATATCAGGGAGTGCGGGTATGGACCCATTTCCACATTCCTGTGACAACCTGCCCCCCAATTTTATTTGCACCTTATACACTTCCACTGACGACATTCCACACAAACACACACTTGGGGCCTTGGGAGTGAGCACATTCAGCGGCATTTGGCAGGGGGATATCTCAGCCTCCTCCAGGGTGCCGGTGGCCACTTCCAATTTTAAAGTGCACTTAGACACCGAGGGCTGTGGGTGCAAGTGGGGTGGTGTGGTGGCATCAACTGGCATGGGCAGACAATGCCCGCACTGCCCGCTCACCACAGCCATGGAATACACCTCATCAACGAACACTAACTATATTGGAGCAGGCGGAGGGAGACTAGGGGTCTTAGCACACCTCTGTTGTTGCTTGGCTTCCTGGGGCTGGAGGCTAAGAGGGAGATCTGGCTGTCTGGTTGGGGTCTGGGGTGGTGGGTTGCTGGGCTCAGCGTTGGGCGGGGAGTCTGTTCATCAGCACCCCAGCAGAAAGGGTCAAACTCTAGTAATGGTTGTACCCAATGTGCAGCAGTACCGGGACTAGGGTGTGTATAGGGAGCATAAGTGGGTGTCTGGCGTGCATTTTTAGAAGTCTTTGGTTTCATGTGTATGTGTGAGCATGAGAGGGAGTGTATTACTGTGTTTGTGTATGACTGTATATGTCAGGTGGGGCCTTTGACTCCTCCCTTCTCCTGGGACTTGTTTTGATGATATAGATCTTCGTCTCCCCTCTCCCTGCCACACCTGGTGTGGAGTGCGGTACCTTCAGGGGTGGACCGTTAAAGCGCCCGAGCGCCAATGGCGCTAAATTTTCTCGCCGGGCGGTAAATACTTGACGACTTACCGCCCGGGTGGCGCCCAAGCTTTATTTGTCATTTACACACCGGCTTTCACCTATATCATGGCCCCGCCCTGTAGGAAGCCGCAGTTTTCGTTTCGCGCGCGTGAACCTGCGCGCCTCTAGCCACCTACTGCACTTGTACGATTCGTGCACGTACTGCACGATTAGTTATAGTCACGTGAACTATAAGTTCACTATTAAAGACGAAGTGGAACCACGCTAGAAACACACAAGCACGCAGGAAGATCGCACCACCACAGGGATGGGATTTCTTGATTAAATCTCCGGCAAAACGCTTTAAAACTGGTGAGGAGGAGAAGCGAGACAGTTCGAAACGGTATGAAGCAGAGAAGCGTGTGCGTAGGTGGAATGATTCTTGGCGGTTTAAAGAAGACGGGAGGCGCAGAGAATGGCCGTGTTCGAGTTGAGCAGCGCATCGCCTGGAAAACAGACGAGAGCAGACGGAAGCAGCAGGGGGAGTGGCTGAAAGCCGGCGAAACGCCGGGGACACACCGGCCGCGGAAGCGCCGAGAAGCGAATCGCTGCCGAAGTCCGGCCGCTGCTCAGTTCAGATCAGACGCGCCCCATTCGAGGCGCGCCTCGGCTCCGCTGTGGTTTTTCTTTTAACTACCCAGTGTCCTCAATTTCCTCAGCTCTTTTCCTCTACGTGTGTGTGTGTGTGTGTGTGTGTGTGTGTGTGTGTGTGTGTGTGTGTGTGTGTGTGTGTGTGTGTGTGTGTGTGTGTGTGTGTGTGTGTGTGTGTGGAGAGGAGAGGAGAGAGACTGTGGTGTGAAACAGTTGTTTCTGCCAGTTGAATCTCTTGGACTTCCCTGTATGTGAAGCTCGGGGGTGACGATGGATGAAGATATCGCGTTAGCGTTCACACTTGTTCAATTTTAATTCTGGTGCCTGTTAGCAGCTGAAACACATCCTCATGTGCTTGTGGATATCATATATTGTATATGGAGACATGACTGTAATAATAAGTAAAGGTTAGCAGCTGTAGCTTCAGTGTGCTCATAGGAAACGTGACAAAAGAAAACAAAACACATTTCTCTTTATGGCCTATATAGTTGTCATCATCAGCGTAACATGATTTACAGAATACATGTGACCAACTAACATTTCATGTTCTACCACCGAATGTTTGGATCAAAATGTGAACCAATCAGATCTTAGATCAGGTGAGAGCCAGGCGTTTCCCGTCATCCTCTAGGTTTTGCAGCCGGTGGAGAGCAACTGCAGCGCCTTGCTCCAAAATCTGCGGCCGCCTTGATCTCACGAGGTTATCGTTGCCTACGTATGCATGACGTCAGAGCAAGTAGGCATCAATTCGGACACAAATCTAACCGGCATGCACTGCTCGCCGATCACCGCTGCTCTAATCTGCGCAGAACTGGCTCATCTGGAACACAGCCAATGGCTCCAATACAGCAAAGCGGAGTTGGTGATGTACTGCGTTGTATGCCGGAAGTATGCAACGCCAAAATCGTGTTTTGTTGAGGGAACAAACAAATTCAAACTTGAATACGTTATTATGTTTGTGAATGTGTACAAAATAAAGGTTTATTACATTTAAAACTGTTCAGTTGTTATTTTGACTCGTTTTGGCAGCTGACCAGCGGGGCCGGTAGATTCTTGGTGGGGCCGGTAAATATTCAGAGTTACCGGCCCGGCTGGCTGGTTGGTTTTGAAGTTAATGTCCACCCCTGACCTTGGTCTGCCTGAATGTTCGTGGCTCCCGGGTCAGGGGGTTTAAGATTTTTGGCATCTGTCTGATCAATCCCGGTGGCTGCCTGGTGGGGTCTGGGTCCCTGGGCTCTGCTGGGTCCCAGGCGGGGGGTGGGAGGCTGCAGGTGGGCTTGCCGCTGATATCTCCCGGGTCTCTGCCAGCTGCTGGTTGTGGTCCCCCCAGGGCGATCCTCTGCACCTCTCAAGGGGGCGGGGGCCTTTCTGGTTGCAGTCTCCTTGGGGTTTTTGTGTTCTGGGGCAGCGGCTGGATCTCTGGGACTTGGAGCTCTCTTAGTCTCCTACACATCTTTGGGGGCAGGTCTGTGGCCCCTCACACTATCTATTGGACGCTCCTATAGAGAAACCTTACATAAACAAGCGTGTGTACACACACACAGGTGCTCATATAAGTATGGACTTGGGCACGTTCAACACATGTCTTAAGGCTGTCGTTGCCACTAAATGCACTATGATTTATTATTATTGTGTGATTGTATTTCTTCAAGTTGACACAGTGATAGCTTGCTCCTGTTGTGTTGTGTGTCCCATTTTTTTCTCTTCTTTCTCTTTCTGCAGGCCTAGAAGCAGACTCTTGTTCATTATTGTTTATTTTTGTGGACCCCCCCCCCTTTTCTGCCCCCACCTTTTGTCTTTGTCTTTATCTTTCGCCTCTGATTCCGTGTCTGGTCGGAATTACAAAGTATTCAAAAACAATAAAGTTTAAAGTATCAGACGTGACATTAGCTTTGATGCTCCACTTGAGAGTAAATCTGTAAGGCTTTTCACCAACATTCAGACATCAATTCTGTTTGCTTCACAGCCAGACAGGACACAGGGAAAAAATAATGATAAAAATAATGTAATATTGTGAGTTTATTTTTAGTCATGCAAAGTTTAATGTAGAAATAAGTAAAACGTTATTAAAAGTTACAGTACTTAAAGCTAAACTGAGATTAAGTAAAATAATGTAAATACCATAAGACTATTCAAAAGTTTGACTGATAACAATGGGGTGTTTAAACTATTAAAGTTGCATTGTTTAAGACTAAATTAAAGAATATGTTGTGACTGAATATTTCATACAATGCAGTTATAAATAAATGTTTTTTAGTATATGTATTGCTGACTATTTGAATTAGTCTAAGCATTATATATAGAATACAGCAGGTGTATGTGCACTTTCATAAGTGCAAGTAAGTTCTAATAAAACTTGACATTTAATAACTTTTGATATTTTTAAACAATAGTTTGAAATTTAGCATGATTTAAAACTACATTCTTGGGGTTTGATTAGAAATTTTCATTTTTATATTATGATTCCTTGTTCAGGGGTTATCAGTAAAGTAGTAATAATTATGTTAATGTATTTTGTCATAGATGTCACACACAAGTTATTAATTTTTATCCTTTAAATTAGATTATACTGTGATTAACTCATTTAAAGAGCAAGTCGCCCCCAAATCAACTTTTTTTTCTGATAAACTATATAAATGTGTGTCTAATCGTGCTACAGAAATGCATAGTCAATAGTTTTGCACTTTAGTGCATTTTAGTTAAGATTTTAATTTTCTGCCTAAAACTGTCAGTGTTGTGCCGTTGTCAGATAAAAACTCTGCACTACATTTGAATTTAAATCTGTCATAGCTATTGACTAAGAGGTACACAGTGATGTTAGATGGTACATTATTATGTCACAATGTTGTGAGTGTGTGTATTTGTTTGTGGCTCTACCCTCTCGGTCTGCTAGACAACAGCATTTGTTGCATTTTTCAAACAGGAAGTGGGAGTTGAGTAAGAATCTGGTCATGGGTGACTTGCTCTTTAAAATTTAGGATTGTTTTTACAATTATATAAGTTTAGCAAATTGATGGTTGTATAAGATTCTAAAAGGTGTGAGTGAGTGAGTGAGTCTAATTCTGTCTTTACTGAGTACAGACACATGATAACATAGAAATCCATAGTGTTTGTGTTGCTTTTCTAATAGTGCTGTCATGTATTTTATGTTTCAAACAGCATTCACTATGCCTGGCAAAGAGTCCAAACGCAAGGCGGATGCTGCTAAGCGCAGCAATCGTCCAGCTCCGCCTATTCGTATCGGGATTCCAACGCACATCAATGATGATGTTAATTGTATGTATTGCAGTATTATTTCGCAGAACAAATTATTGTAGTGTTTTTCAATCGATTTAATCTATACTGTATTTATGTAAGATGAAAAATTATTAGCCAAAAAGATTGTTAATTTTTGTGTGTGTGTTTTTGTTTTGTAAGTTTCTGGAACTGGCTTTCGTCATCGAGTTCGTCGTTGGCCGACCAGTGTGATTTCTAACAAAGCTCACAAGTTGGTCCTTCCAGATGAGATTCCTGACAAGAAAGTGAGTGTAATGTCCACAAATATTTAAAATATAAATATAGATTTTCTTCCAATACTATCTAGCAGTACTCTGGGATTCTAAGGAAACGGTCAGATGGTGTTGAAGCCGCTATCAGTTACAGTGCTGCAAACAGACTGAATCGGCTTCTTTTTGACTTGTGCCTAAAGTCTACCAACTTTTGAATCTTAATAGAAAACCTAGTTGTGTTCATCTTCCTTTTTAGTCGGTGCTTCTCAATCTGTGATTTAGAACTTAAGCTGCTCAGTTATTTTTACATATCTTTATTTGTATTTATGTTGGTGTATTCTGTGATTAGTTTTACCATTTCATGTTTTATTGTTTGTAAACTTTGGCTGTTTAATGTGATCTCTTTCTTCCTGAAAAGCATATTGCATTGCCGTTTGTATGAAATGTCATAGAAATACAGATTGTTTTATATTGAAATGTATTTATTAATTTTTCTAATTTAGTTCATCCTACTTGTTGGGGACTCCCACTTGAGGTCCGTGGCAGACGGCATAGTCCCTATGCCGGTTGGCGGCCTCGCTTTTGGTGTGATGTCCACTCCAGGAGCTTGTGCAGATCTTCTGCGCCTTGAGGTTTCACAGGCTGTGTTACCTCGGGAGCCTGATGCTGTTTGCGTCATGGCTCCTTCTAACAACCTTACGGCCAGCAGAACAGTTGAAGAGGCAGGGGATGCATTTGAGCGGTACCTTTTGGCTGTTCTCAGTCGCTGGCCTAAGGTGAGAGGCTGATTTGTGTAATTTTGAAGGTATGAGAGATGACAGTAAACGTACATCCTTAAAAATAATTGTATTCTTTCTTCTTCTTTTTTTTTTTTTTTAGGTTTTCTGTACCTCCATGATTCCCCGTTTAGTTGGATCCTGGGAGCGTCAAGACCTGTTTCAGCAGGAGTACCACCGCAGATCGGCTAAGCTAGGTAAGTTGCAACATAATTAGATGAAAAGGTAGTATTAACGACAAGCGTTATTGCTATTTACTCTTAGGTATCAAACAATCACAATTTATAAGTTTACATGAATTTTTTCCTTCTGCTTCGAAGGTGTAAGTTATGTGCCGATCCACGATCACCTACCCAGGTATCGTCTTAAACTGTGGTGTCGTGATGGTGTAAGTATATTGCTTGGAAGAAAACAAGGTAAAGGTTCTTAAGTTTGAGATGATAAATTTGTATTCTTTTGTTCGTGTTTGTGGTTGCAGATCCACCTCAGTGATAATCACGGGATGCCTATACTCACGCAACTGATGTGGAATGCCTCCTATCAGTTCTTGGAGACACACGCACCAAAGCCACTGGTGCAGCACCAGGTGTCTCCTCCGCAGAAAGCGAGTATTGTGCCCCGTGTGGTTGTGAAGGGTGTGGAACGCATTCCACCTCCACGCCCTTCCGAATGGACGTTTGTGAGACCTAGCGGGAAGGTGAGAGACTTTATAAAGTATAAATATTGTAAAATGTTTATAATTTTAGGCAACTGGGCCAGTAATGCTTCTAAATGTGTTTTCTTTTATTTACCATTGCAGAGAAACCATTCAGGGGAATTTGAAAAGACTTCTAATTCCCCCAAGAAACGAGTGGTTGTTTCTAAGGTTTGTGAATGTTTTTGATTGATCTTTTTCAAAGAATTTTGATTAGATGATAATATGTGGTGAATTTTCTTCAATAGGCTGATGACACTTCAGTGGCCTTGAAGGAGTGTTTCATCCCCCTGAATCCCGTTAGGTTCTCACCTTCAATTCTGGCTGCCATGGACACGATTGCTCCAGCGGATGGTCCCACAGAATTACAGGTAACTTTAAAGCTAAAGTTTATTATTATCTTTTAATGTAATGTTGTTCCTGATGCTTGTAATATGGGCTGTCTGTATGGTATATTTGAAAGTATTGTACTTAACCGTATTATTTTCTGTTTGTAGACTACATCTGTGCGACATTTTAAGAAAGCAGCTAGGCGTGTCCAGCAGGAGGTTGATTCATTAAATTATCTGGCATACAAATACATTGTGGTGTTATTTTTCTTCACCGTTGTTGTTCTTGAATTATAGGTTGCATCCACACCTTGCATAAATCCTCTTGCAGACGTGGAGTCTGTTCGGTCTAGGAAGGAGGTAAGAAGCGTGTGTTTCAAATATAAAAACTAAACTAATCTTTATTGACGATGTATTGCCCTTTAATTTCTTCTGTATAGGTGTTGGACTGTGACCAGCTGCCTTCACCCCACCATCAGGAGGCATCTGGTTGTCCTGGGTCTGTCTCTGGGTCTGTTGCTGCCCATGCTGTGATGCTTCCTTCTGGCCATCACGCGCATGCATCACCCAGAGGTCAGTCTGCTAACACCCCTTCTTGCGTGCGTTCACAGGTTTTGCTGTCATCTCTAGTTCCAGAGACAACTGTTCAAAATCCTGTTGTAAATAATTTTGATAAAGATAAAACAATTTTACACAACGATGATACAATTTTAGACTCTGTCCTAGGATCATTTCATCAGGGAGATGGGCGTTTTAAATATGGGGGAGTTCAGTGTGCAGCTATTACTGTTGTTGCTTTAACAAAGCACAAACAGAAGAGTGTTTTCTCTTGGGATTTTGCCGTGTTGGATAACGTTGTTGAGTTAGGAGATGAGCTGTACACAGATTTGCGCGACAACAAGAAGATTAGAGGTGGACATGAGTTTCTCTCTGTTCCAGACTTGCCAAAGGAAATTGACATGGAAGAACAGAGTTTTAAGCTTGTTTACGGGGATTTCGTTTTAGGAGATGTAGATGTAGCTGAAGGTGAGTTAATAGATGCTGGTGTGTACACTCCTCTCCTGGATGGATTGAAGAAGATGTGCACACAGCATGAAACTTGCATTATGACATTAAGTGGCAATACTTGTGCTATCATTTGTGATAATGGACGTTATGCTGTAGTAGATTCCCATGCACGCTCCGCAGACGGCATGGTAGACCCGACAGGACAGAGTGTAGTTCTGTACTTTGCGAACCTTGATAATGTTTTTCAACATTTTCAGAGGTTTGCTAGTGAACTGGTGGGATCTCAGAGGTTATTTGAGATCACTGGAGTGGATATTGTTCAGATGGACACATTTAAAAATGTATCTGAACAAACAGATGACATTGACATAAACCCTGTTATTTTTGTTAGTGATGCTAGTACTAAAGATTTTCATTTCAGTCCCGTTTCTACAGACGTGTCACAGGCGTTGAGTATATGTCTGAATGTGAAGTCTGCGATGGTTGAATCATCTCCTGTTCCTTCATGTAGCACAAGTGTGGTTAACGTTGATGATAACAGTATTGTAAACAATGATACAATTTTAAGCTCACTTACAGGATCATTTAATCAGAGCGATGGGCGTTTTAAATATGGCGGCGTTCAGTGTGCAGCAATAAGTCTTGTTGCTTTAACTAAGCACAACATACAAAGTGTTTTTTCATGGGATTTTGCCATGTTAGACAATGTTGTTGTTTTGGGCGATGAGCTGTACACATATTTACGCGACAGTGATCTAATAAGTGCTGGGAATGTGTTTCTTTCTGTTCCAGAATTGCCAAAGGAAATCGTTATGGGCAAACAGACTTTTAAGTTGAATTATGGGGATTTTGTTTGTGGAAATGTAGATATCGTTGAAGGTGAACTTATAAATGCTGGAGTGTACACTAGTCTTTGGGATGGTTTGAATAAGATGTGTACACAATATGAAACATGTTTTATTACACTTGGAGACAATACTTGCGCTTTACTTAGTGAAGATGGACATTATGCTATTGTTGATTCACATGCTCGTTCTGCAGATGGAATGGTTGACCCAAACGGTAAAAGTGTAATTCTATACTTTAGTAGTCTTGACAATGTTTTTAGATATATTCAGAGGTTTGCCAGTAAATTAAATGGAACTCAGAAGTTGTTTGAGATCAGTGGAGTTAACATTGTTCAGATGGACACATTGAAAAATGTTTCTGAACAAACAAGGTTGCCTCCAACAACAGGAAAGGAGGTTAGACGTGAAGAGTCATTTCCACTCTCGGAACCAAAAAAGTTACAGACAGATGACACCGACATAAACCCTGTTGTTTTTGTTAGTGATGTTGGCACTAAAGATTTTCATTTCAATCCCATTTCTAGGGACGTGTCTCAGGTGTTGAGTAAACGTCTGAATGTGAAGTCTGGAATGGTTGATGAATCATCTCGTGTGATTGGTGAATTGGGTGTACCATGCATGAATAAATCAATAGTGGCAGATGGAAACTGTTTTTTTAGAGCACTTAGTCAAGCTGTTTCTAGCACCCAGGAATATCATAGAAAAATCCGTCTTGCTTTGGTCAATCAGTTAAAAAAGAATCCTCAAATGTATCAAACCATTTTAAGAAGTGAGTATTCCTCGGTTTCGCAGTACCTCACCTCATCCAGGATGCAGTACGTTGGCAGTTGGGCAACTGAAGTGGAAATTCAAGCTGCTGCTGATTATTTTGGCATTAACATATTTACTTACTGTAATGATAAATGGCTTAAATATACATCCAACAGCATCTTTTCACAGCAGGCTGTTTATTTGGAGAATAGTAATGGTAACCATTATGAGACAGTGGTTTGTGTAAAACAACCTAACACAGGAACTTGTTATGGTTATTGTGGCCCTGTAAATAGTATTTCTGGTAGATACAATACTCGACATGCCCCTACAGAACATTTAAAATGTTCAGTAGAAACTGTCACACTTGAGCCGAGTTCCATAGATACAGATGGTGTTAGTGTTGTTCATTCAAATACTTTATTTACTCCTATGTCTGCAGATTTTTGTAAAACTCTGTGTAATCGGTTGAAAATAGATTTTGAGAAACACAATTCTCAAGAATCCACATCAGGTGGGCCTTTAGGAAATGTGTGTAAGACGGAACATATTATTGAAGATGGTAACAGTTTTTTTAGAGCTGTAGCTCATGTAATTAGTGGGTCACAGAAGGGCCATCGTAAGATCAGACTCGCTGTTGTTTCTTATATGTTGAAAAATGTTGAAGAGTGTGAGAACTTTCTGGGAAAAGAACATGCTTCTGTGTCAGAATACATAAAAACTTCACAGATGAATTATGTCGGTCACTGTGCTACAGAGGTAGAATTTAGAACTACAGCCAGTGTTTTAGGAATACCCATATTTATCAACAATGGCACAGAGTGGGTCAAATATAGTTCTCAAACTAGTAATTTTGTCACTGAGGGGCTATATTTGTCAAACTGTAATAATCATTTTGAACCCGTTCTTTGCATAAGACTGGGTAATAAAGAAACATGTTTTGGGTTTTGTAAAGTTGATTTTTTGTCAGACAACGTAAACAAATGCAGAAGGTCAACTATGATGCAATTAAATGCTGACCCAAACATGGAAAAGATGAAAACGAGGAAGAGTTTTTCCAGATATTTAAAGCAAAATAAGGCTTATGCAGAAGCCTCTAATTATAAAACGGTAAATGCAGTTAAAGACAAAATAAAAAGTCAGAAGAAAAATGCATACCAGCAAAATGTTGCTTACAGAATGAAAAAGATCAGTGCGACCAAATTTAAATACAAATTTCTTCTTGCACATAAAGAGAAAGTGAAAAAGATGGCTTTGTTTAACTACCATCACAATTTTTCTAACAAAGAAAAGGTTAAACAGAGGACCAGTTATAGCTACCATCATAATTTGGCTCATCGAGAAAAGCTTAAACAGATGAGTGTGTATAAGTATCGTCATAACTTAGCTCATCAAGAAAAGCTTAAACAGATGAGTGTGTATAAGTATCGTCATAACTTAGCTCATCAAGAAAAGCTTAAACAGATGAGTGTGTATAAATATCGTCATAACTTGGCTCATCGAGAGAAGCTTAAACAGATGAGTGTGTATAACTCTCGTCATAATTTGGCTCATCGAGAAAAGCTTAAACAAATGAGTGTGTATAAGTATCGTCATAATTTGGCTCATCGAGAGAAGCTTAAACAGATGAGTGTGTATAACTACCGTCATAATTTGGCTCATCGAGAGAAGCTTAAACAGATGAGTGTGTATAACTACCGTCATAATTTGGCTCATCGAGAGAAGCTTAAACAGATGAGTGTGTATAACTACCGTCATAATTTGGCTCATCGAGAGAAGCTTAAACAGATGAGTGTGTATAAGTATCGTCATAATTTGGCTCATCGTGACAAAATGAAAGAGTTGACTAAAAAGAAATACCTTAATATTGAGCATAAAACATGTTTAATAGAAAGTATCCAGCATAAAAGAAAGCTGATTAAAGTAAATTCACAAAACTTTAATTTTGTTGTAGATCAATTTTTAGAGAAAGTGAAAGATGGACCTGATTTTGTGTGTTGTGTCTGCTCACGGTTGTTGTTTAGACATCAGGTCTTAAACTGTAATCAAGAATACTATAGAAAAACCAAAGAAATGTCACTTATAGCAGATAAATGTGTAAGTGACAATCATCTGCACAAATGCAATGATGCATGTAGATTACCTTGCAAATTGAATGTATGTAGAAATAAACTGTACATCTGTTACACGTGTCATTATAAAATTAGTAAATGTCAGATACCCCCAGAAAGTTCAATCAACAAGCTGACTGTTGATCCCATCCCACCTCAACTGGCATGTTTAAATACATTAGAGCAACATTTAATAGCGATGAATATACCCTTTATGAAAATGTTGGCTCTGCCCAAAGGTGGTCAGAATGGGATTCATGGTCCTGTCACTTGTGTACCTGCAAATATAGTGGAAACGTGCAGTTTGTTACCACGTACCAACATGGAGGGGTCTTTATTACCTGTAAAGTTAAAGCGTAAATTGACATATAAAGGACACTATGATTATCAGTATGTTGACACACAGCATGTTCAGGAAGCTCTTCAGTATTTAAAACGTCATAATTTGCATTACAAAGATGTAGAGTTCAATGAGTCTTGGATTAACACATTTACTCAGGAAGATGAGTCATCTGTCCTGGAAGAGGATAGTGGTTCTAGTAAAGATGAAGATACTTGCATAGATGGAGAAGATGAGTTATTGCATGACAGACAACAACACTGTATGTTTCAGGACACCTGTCTCATGCCAGTAGATATAGGACAAGAAGCATTGGACCAGTATGTAGATAACATATTAAATGTAGCTCCAGGTGAAGGTAACAATCCAGTGAAATTGCTTTCAGATTTTACAAATGAAGCAAAAAGTTTTCCCGTCTTGTTTCCTTCAGGATCGAATACTTACTATGAAAGCAGACAATTTCGTTTGACTCTGAATCGGTATTTCAACAACAGGCTTCTTCATGTCGATGGTCGATTTGCTAACAATGTAGAATATATATTTTTTGCACAGTACATGTCTGAACTAGAGCAGGTTGTGTCCAAAGTTTCTATAGCTTTGCGTAAAGGTAAAAGCGGTGAATCTCAGAAGTTGGGTAATTTGATACAGGATCAGGATTCTTTAAATAAGCTGTTAGAGTTTGATGATGGCTACCGGTTTCTTAAACCAATTCGCGGCACACCTGCTTTTTGGCAATCTGCTCAGCGAGACCTCCTGGCTTGTGTGAAAATGTTGGGCAAACCTACTTGGTTCGCATCATTTTCTTCGGCAGATTTGAGGTGGACTAACCTTCTTTATAGTATTTTGAAACAGGAAGGCAGAACAGAGACAGTGGAACAGCTGGAGTGGGCTGATAAATGTGACCTCCTACGTAGGAATCCAGTAACTGCTGCCCGAATGTTTGATTTTAGATGGCATGTCTTCTTAAGGGAAGTGCTAATGTCTCCTGCCAATCCCATTGGTAAAATAGAAGATTATTATTATCGTGTTGAGTTCCAGCAGCGTGGTTCTCCTCACTGTCATTGCCTTTTCTGGGTTTCTGGTGCTCCCATTTTAGATAAGAACACAGATGAGGAGGTCATTGCATTTGTTGATGAATATGTGACATGTGAACTTCCTTCTGAAGACAATTCACTACATGAAGTCGTCTCATCTGTCCAGCAGCACTCCAAACGGCATTCAAAGACTTGTAGAAAGAAAAAAACTGTTTGTCGTTTTAATTTTCCACGACCCGCATCTGTTAGAACTTTTATTAGCCGTGGCGAAAAGTATCAAGATGCAGTGAAGACTTGCAAGTGTGATAAAACAGATAGCACTGTACAGTGTGCCTGTGCGTCTCAAGATAAAGCTCGTAAACAGGAAATGGACAAAGAAGTAGCAAGTGCCATTTTAACTAAAGTAAAGACTGCTATTTCTAGTGAAGACTGTCCATATAACAGTGTAGAAGGTCTGTTTCAGGGCCTGGGTATCAGTCAGGAACTATTTGAGATGGCATATAAACGATTTAGTCGAAATACACATGTTGTTTTGAAAAGGGAAGTTAATGAAATCTGGATTAATCAGTATAGCAAGTTGCTGTTAAAAGCTTGGAATGCTAATCTTGATATCCAGTATTGCGTCGATGCTTATGCGTGCTGTGTATACATAATATCTTACATGTCTAAAAGTGAACGGGAAATTGGCCTTCTGCTTGCTAATTCTCAAAGAGAAGCAGCCAAAGATGGTAATCTTAGTGCTAAAGAGGCCTTGAAGACTCTTGGTAATGTTTATCTTCATAATTGAGATGTTTGTGCGCAGGAAGCAGTCTACAGGCTAACTAACATGCATCTAAAGGAGTGTTCTAGGAAAGTTGTGTTTGTCCCCACCGGTGATAATGTAGTGAAAATGAGTTTGCCTATTTCTGTTTTGAGGCAAAAAGCAGCATCACAGGATCTTACTTCAGATGACATGTGGATGACCGGATTAGTTGATCGTTATAAGAAGAGGCCAAATGATGATGTGTTCAATGATATGTGCCTGGCTACGTTTGCATCAGAATATCGTGTTTTGAGTAAAAACGAAAAATGTAGGAATCCTATAAAGTTAAGTAATGATTTAGGATTTGTTACAAAAAGAACTCGGACTAAACCAGCGGTTGTTCGTTACGCGCGTTTCTCTGAAACAAAAGACTCAGAGAAATTTTATCAAAGCATGTTGCAGTTGTTTTTGCCGTACCGCCATGATGGTGAACTTAAGCTTAACTGTGAAACCTTTGAGGAATTTTACAGAACTGGTTTAGTTAGATTTTTTGATAGAACAAACCACTCGGTAAAGGCTGTTGTAGATTTAAATCGGGGTAAATTTGAATTAGAATCTGATCATTTGGATGCTGTGAATAATATAGTCGGTGATGTAATGTTAGAAGATGCATGGTGTGAGTTGTGTCCGGCAGTTGAAATGGAACGTTTGGAGTGTGTTGAAATACTGAAAGAATCAGAACCAACAGTAAGTGACGAGACAGAAGTAATTCCAGATTTGGCTCCATGTTCAAACCAAATTGCACATTTAGAGAAGAGAAACACGATGAGTAGAGGTGAAGGTCTGGCATTGATTAGGTCTTTAAATGAAAAGCAGTTTTCTGTTTTTAATCAAATCAGGCAGTGGTGTGTAGATAAAGTTAATGGTAATAACCCTGAACCACTGCATGTTTTTGTTACAGGCGGGGCGGGCGTTGGGAAAAGTCATTTAATTCGAGCAATAGAGTATGAAACACAGAGATTACTGTCACCAAGCTGTAGACATCCTGACAATGCATGTGTAGTATTGGCAGCTCCTACTGGGATTGCAGCATATAATTTAGGTGCAGCAACAATCCACACTACACTGTCTATAGGAAAGGATGTACGCTTACCGTACACTCCTCTGGGTGAAGAAAAACTAAATTCTTTACGTACAAAATATTGTGATCTGCAGCTCCTTATTATTGATGAAATATCAATGGTAGATCATAACCTGTTGTCCTATGTTCATGGTAGATTACGTCAGATTAAACAAACGGGTGACTTTTCATCTTTTGGAAATGTCAGTGTAGTGGCCGTTGGAGATTTCTTCCAGCTACCTCCTGTTAAAGGGAAGCCACTCTATTCTGATGGTGTAGGTAGCAACTTATGGTCAAGCCTATTTAAAGTTGTACAGTTAACTGAAGTCGTTAGACAGAAAGATGCTATGTTTTCTGGACTGCTAAATAGAATCAGAACTCATACAAAAGGTACACCATTGTTACCTGAGGATTTAAAGGTTTTAAAAACTTGTGAAACAGGTGAGGCAAGCTCAGCATTGCACATATTTGCAACAAATAATCAAGTAAATAATCACAACATCCATCAGTTATGTCACGTTTGTCCTGATTACATATCAATTACAGCCAAAGATTATGTTAATGATAAAAGAACAGGCAAACTGAAGTTGTTGGAAGGGAATCACGCCAGAGCTTCTAATACTAACTTGTCAGAAGTGTTACAGTTGGGTAAGGGTGCGCGTGTAATGTTGTGTAAAAATGTGGATGTCATTGACGGTTTAGTAAACGGAATTTGTGGTACTGTGACAGAAATTAAAATGTTAGAAAATGACACCTTTCCTAAAAAAGTTTATGTTCAGTTTGATGACCATCGTGTCGGCTTGCAGAGGAGGAAAACCTCCCAGTCTCTGTCATCAAATTTAGCTGGATCTACACCTATTGAACCCGAGGAGGAAAGGGCCACTGTTAAAGGTGGATTACGTCGACAATTTCCTCTTAAATTAGCTTGGGCGGTTACGGTTCATAAAGTTCAGGGACTCACTCTTGAAAACGCTGTTGTTAGTTTTAGGAAAATATTTGCACCAGGTCAAGCATATGTAGCACTTAGCCGTGTAACAAGTCTTTCAGGACTCACAATTCAGGACTTTGATGAAAAACGAATCTATTGTAAAGATGACATTACAGTTGCAGTTAGTAATATGACACCTTTTTTGACTCCAAACTCACAGTTCGACAGATTTAACTCTTCTGCATTCACTGTGTTTTTAATGAATGTCCAAAGTCTGAATCGACACGTTAAAGACTTAGCTTTCTGCACACAGCATTTGCAACCTAATTGCATTGCTGTCACAGAAACATGGGTATCTACAGACAGATCAGATGCAGTACAGATTGATGGCTATAGTTTTTACAACTGCCCACGAGGTTTAGCTTATTCTAGTACCCATGAGTCATTGGTTGCTTTTCAAGAACAACAACATGGTGGTGTTGGCTTTTATACTGCAGATGGTGTGGCATTTAAAATGTTGCAGGCTCCAGACGTCAACTTGGAGAGTTTAGTGTATAGCTTTGTTAACTTACACATAGTACTTGGACTGATTTATCGACCTCCTTTGTATCCCCTTTCTTTGTTTAAAGTAAATTTAACAAAGTTGCTTGATTGGCTGGAGGTACAAAGCGAGACATTAGTACTAATGGGAGATTTTAATGATGACATTTTAAAATCATCAACAATATTAAAACTTTTGACTGACAGAGGCTATGCCCAAATAGTCAAACAGCCAACAACTGAAAAAGGCACTTTAATAGATCATGTCTATGTAAAATCCAACAAGTATATAACAGAAGCATCTGTTATTCCAACATATTTTAGTGATCATCAGGGCATCATTTGTGATTTGACACGGCTTTAGTTTACCTAAAAAAACAGATTTGATTTGATCAACACCTAACTGCAGAATTTGTAATGTAAGGAGGTGTGTGTGTGTGTGTGTGTGTGTGTGTGTGTGTGTGTGTGTGTGTGTGTGTGTGTGTGTGTGTGTGTGTGTGTGTGTGTGTGTGTGTGTGTGTGTGTGTGTGTGTGTGTGTGTGTGTGTGTGTGATCAATTTTAGCTTTGTTGTACCAATATTTTACCTTTCTTTACATGAGCTGTCTCTACTGAAAGCAAGTCGATTTCGTTGTACACCCATGCAATGGCAATAAACTTATATTGTAAATGTAATCAGGCAAAACTTTTATATATTAAATATATTGGATGTGTTGTTGTTAAGCAGTGTACATGTTTCAGTGCCATCATCGGCCGTGGAGGGGCTGTGCACTCCCAGGACAACTTTGCTGCCACGTTCCATCTGTGAGAGCAGAGGTTGGAGGAGGAGAATGTGTGCGCGTAGGAGTGTAGATAGCTTTTCAAAATGTGGGTCTTGAGATTTCTCTGATGTACATTCACAAACTATTTCGATTTCATGAGCGGAACGAAGGGGTAATAGCACGCGGAATGTTTTGGTGTCGTGCATTTGCCATGGCACTAGAATTTCAGGTATGTTGCAGCGCCACGCATGAGCCTATGTAGCAAAAACACTAACTGCTGCTGTATGTGTCACCATTTCTGTGATTTCTTCAAATTTTGTGTCTCCTGCTGACCTAGTCAACATAGCATTTAGCCATTTCCCACATCTACAATTCTCTTCCCCCTTTTCCTCCACTTTACTCTCTCACCCACTTTTTAATCAAAACTAAAAACGTATCTGTCCAGATCAGCATTTAATACACTAATTTTATTGTTTTAATGTTTTGAGTGTAATTGTGTGTGTGTGTGTGCGTGTATTCATCTTTGTTGCAAAATGTATTTTGGAATGTATTGGAAAGCTTTTAAACATATATTTTTTACGTCAAAATTAAATGTGTTTAAAAGCTTTCTAAAGGTTTCGTTTCTTGCATTAAGATGGCATTTTCTAAAATTAAACTGAAAACCTTTAGTACAATTGGCTTTTCATTCATCACTATTGAATGATGAAACAATTCCACACCAAATTATGTATAATAAAAATTAAACTGGTGAATTTCATGCTGTTTTAATGCAGGGTTTGCTTTACCTGGTAAAATTCACAAAAAAGCAAAGGCAATGGTCTGGTCTCCCACTTGTGGGACAGGGTTCAAATCCCTGTGTTGCCCTGCTAAATGTGTTGATTACTGGTAAAACCATTATTCTAAAAGGCTAAAAACCGTAAAAGTCATTCATCCCTCCATTTTCATCCACTTATCCGGAGTCGGGTCACAGCCTAAGCCGAGAGGCCCAGACTTCCCTCTCCCCAGCCACTTGGGCCAGCTCCTCCAGGGGAATCCCAAGGCGTTCCCTGGCCAGGTGAGAGACATAGTCCCTCCACCGTGTCCTGGGTCTACCTTTAGGTCTCCCGGTTAGACGTGCCCGGAAAACCTCATCAAGGAGGCGTCCAGGAGGCATCCTGATCAGATGTCCGAGCCACCTCAACTGGCAATCTGGAGGAAGCAGCAGGTCTACTCCGAGCCCCTCCCGAATGACCGACCTTCTCATCCTATCACTAAGGGAGAGGCCAGCCAATCTTCAGAGAAAACTCATTTCAACCGCTTGTATCTGCGATCTCGCAGCTGCAGCTTCGCTGCCCTGCATCTCACCCTGACTAAGCATCCCCTCTGAGCTCTCCATTGAATTACAAGTCTCACCACTAGGGGATACTCTATCTTTATCACACTGGTGGTATGATGACACAGACCAACTTTAATGCTTTTCTGGCCATGTTTTTTAAAGTTATCAAAAGTTAAAGTTATCTAGGGGGCATTGTGACCAACCACAGAAAAATCCCATTGAAGTCAACTTTGGTTGACAAAGATGGTTTTCTGTTATTTTGGCATCAATCAGACGTTGTGTGTTCTATCTAGAGCCAGTGAGCTGAAAGGGGCAGAGTTACAGGGATTTGAACCAACAACCACATCAATGTGTTTGGTGCATTCACGTGATGTCACAAGCCAAGTACAATGCCATTC